ACCCCGAATAGCCAAAGCTCTCCTGAAAAAAAAAAGAAGGGATTGGAGGCATCACACTCCCAGACTTCAAACTATACCACAAAGCCATAATCATCAAAACTGCGTGGTATTGGAACAAGAACAGACACATAGACCAATGGAATCAAATAGAACATCTAGAAATAAACCCACAGATTTATGGTCAACTAATCTTTGACAAAGGAGCAAAGAATATGCACTGGAGCAAAGAAAGTTTGTTCAGTAAATGGTGCTGGGAAAACTGGGTCACTAAATGCAAAGGAATGAAGCGTGACTACTACCTAACACCATGCACAAAAACCAACTCAAAATGGATTAAAGAACTAGACATAAGACCTGAAACCATAAAATACATAGAAGGAAATACAGGTGAAACACTCCGTGATATGCACATCAAAGACATCTTTACAGACACATCACCCAAAGCAGTGATAGTGAAGGCAAAGATAAACAGCTGGGACTACATCAAATTAAAGAGCTTCTACACAGCAAAAGAGACAATAACAAAAACAAGGAGAAACCCCACAAACTGGGAGAATATTTTTGCACACAACACTAATGATAAAGGACTGATCACAAAAATCTGCAAAGAGCTGATGAGACTCAACAACAACAAAGAAAATAATCCAGTCCAAAAATGGGCAAAAGAGCTAAAAAGAAACTTCTCTGAAGAGGAAATGCAAATGGCCAACAGGCATATGAAGAAATGTTCAACATCACTTGTAATCAGGGAAATGCAAATCAAAACTACCATGAGATACCATCTTATACCAGTGAGAATGGCACATATTAAAAAAACTAGCAACAACAAATGTTGGCGAGGTTGTGGAGAAGGAACTCTCCTGCACTGTAGGTGGGAGTGCAAAGTGGTCCAACCACTATGGAGAGCTGTGTGGAGATATCTGGACCTACTAAACAAAGAAATTCTATATGATCCAGCAATTCCACTCCTAGTTATTTACCCAAAGGATACAGAAACATCAATTCCAAAGAGCACCTGCACCCCTATGTTTCTAGCAGCACTATTTACAATAGCTAAGCTTTGGAAACAACCCAAATGCCCAAAAATAGATGATTGGATCAAGAAGATGTGGTACATATACACCATGGAATATTACTCAGCATTCAAAAAAGATAAACACATGCAATTTGCAGCAACATGGATGGAGCTGGAAGGGATCATGCTCAGCGAAATAAGCCAGAAAGGAAAAGAAAATACCAGATGGTCTCACTCATAGCAGGAATCTAGAAAACTTAAATAAGGGACCAGGAAAAAGAATAACTATAAGAAGGAAAATATCAAAATCAACAAACAACTATGAACCAGAGACACTCTATGGGGGGTGGGGGGCGGGGAAAGGAGGGCTTGGGCTCAAAATAAGGGGGTTGTAATTGTATGGGGAATATAAAAATAAAATTTAAATTAAAAAAAGGCAATCTAAAAAAAAATTACTCATTTCAATCTTACTTCTCCTTCTTTTTGACTGCATGTATTTCCTGTAACAAATTTTCCTCTCATCATTACTTTAGCTTTGGTCCATAAACTTTAATATGTTTTATTGTCATTTTATTCAGTTCAATTTTTCTTTGATCTATGGTTTATTTACAAGGGTGCTGTTTAATTTCCAGGTATTTGGAGATTTCCTTGTTGTCTTCCTGTTCCTGATTTCTAGCTTGATTCATGGTTGGAAAACATTGTATATTGTTAATTCTTTTAATCTGTTGAAATTTGTTCTATGACTCAGGAGGTAGTGTCCTCAGGTCCCTTTATCCGGTGGCCTAAGGCCAGTCCGCATTCTTGTCTCTACGTTCAGGCATTTGCTTTACATACACTGTGCAGGATTTTTATTTGTTCTGAGCAGAAGCAATAGAGGCATACCTACCTCATTTTCCAGAAAGGTAAAATCACCCTCCTAATTGTAATTTAAAGCAAATACTTTCACTTATATGTAGGTCAACATCTGACTCTAAATAATATGCAATAAGGCATTATTTTAGATGCCCTAAACCTCACAGTCAGGAATGAGATATTTTGGTCTATATTTGTAGATAAGGAAACAGAGGGTCAGTGAGTCACTTACTTGCACAAGTCATATTTATTCTATGACTGCACTAAAACCCAAGTCCTCTGAGACTTCCATATACTTTTTCAGTATTGCTATTATGCCCCAACCAGTTGAAAAACAAGTCCAATCTAATCTAACATTTGAACAAAGAGACAATGGCTTGGAGTAAGTCTGACTGGTACAGAATTCTAGTTTTGCCACTTATTCACTCTGTCGCTTAGACAATTTCCTTACCTTCTATGTGAATTTCCTTATCTATGACTGGATCACAGTAAGAGTTACCCCTAAATGTGACTGCAAGATTAAAGAAATCAACACAAGAAAGAACATGGGGCATATGTAGTCTGTAAATGTGAGCCACCCTCATCACCTCAGTGTCTCAGAGGGGTCAGTCATCACACCTGACTTCGCAGAGCTACAATACATATATTGTGATTTATGGTAGAAATATCTATTTGATCTTAGTCCTGATTTCTATTCTAGTTCCTAGAACCTTTGGAATTTCCTAAGAGATGACAGCCAGAAAACTGTCTTTTGCTATGTTTATTAGGCGAGTTTTGGAACGCTCAAAGGATGGGGCTAATTGCCAGTGGAAGCAACCATGTGACTAGAGGGTTAAATTTCCAATCCCATCCCTAGACCTCCAGGAAAGGATGAGGGGCTGCAAGTTGACCAATGGCCAATGCACAATGATTTAATCAATCATGTCTATGTAATGAAACCTCCATAAAAATCCCCAAAGGACAGAATTCAGGGTGCTTCCAGGTTGGTGGACTCATGCAGATTTGAGGAGTGTTGCGCTGAGTGAGGGCATGGAAACTCCACACTCTTTCCCCAAACCATGTCCTATGCCCTAATTTATAACGTTTTATAATCAACTGGTGATCTGGTAAGGAAAATTTTTCTCTGGGTTCTGTGAGCAGTTTTGGCAAATTAACTGATCCTGAGGAAGGGCTTATTGGAATCTCCAGATCTTTAAGTGGCATTTCAGAAGCACAGGCAGAAGACTGGACTTGATAGTCACATATGAAGTGGACGGCAGTCTTTTGGGGTGGAGCCTATAACCTGTGGAATCTAATACTATTTCTAGGTAGTGTCAGCATTATGCTAAATTGCAAGATACCCAGGTGGTGGTAGAGAATCATCGGCTTGGATGTGTGAGAGAAATCCTCATGCACTCCACACTGAAATTGGTCCCAGAGCCCTTAAGAGAAGCTCTCTTCTTTCCTGCTGAAAAAGAGATTTACATGCCTACACCCAAATTCAGAGACTCCCACTTAATTTCCACAAATGCTGAACCAATTCTTGTGGTCCTTCTTGTGCAGATGAAAGCAAAACCAATGTTGGTCAGAAAACAAGTTCATATGTTTGCAAACAGGTACATTTGGGGGAAAACCATAAATAAAGCTTTCTCACTGCTTTAATAAAATAAAGGGCATGGGCTTTCTGAGAAAGTTCATAAGATTAAATAGCTCCAACTTAACATGTATGCTCTTTATACTTACAATCAAAGCCCTCCTTCTTCCACATGGTGTACTTATATACAGAAGGTACTTTGGACACTCTGGCTGCCCTGAAGCCCAGTACTTGCTGGGTGTGAGGACCCTACTGCTAAGCTCATGACTGCACACATGAGCATGTGTGCACTCACATAGCAGCCCACATCTGCCCACTGCCCACACACTCCAGCTACAACAGTCAGGTTGGCAAATTCCTGCACATCAGTTAAATCCCCGGTAGTCCCCAAGTTTAGGAGGGGTCAATATTCCTTCTAAGCACCATATAATGATCCTAAAAGCCAACAGAAAGCTGCTAGGGAATCTATGTTTTTTTCTGTGTTTTTTTTTTTTTCCCCTTGGCTTATCTTCCTCCCTCACAGTGCCAGTGTCTTTCCAATTAATCTGCACTTGGTGCTGTGGCTGTGGAATCTGACTGGATTCCAAGTCAAAGGCTGGGTTCTAGTCCAAACCCACTGAATACATTCATTTAAGCCTTCAGGTGCTGTGGATTCAGGGAGTAGGAGGGGCTATGGGGATGGAGGCAGCTAGCTTCCATCAAAATTATTAAAATATATAAGAACAAACACATGGCTCTACATATGAGTCTATATATTAACCCATACTGGAACAATTTCTTCTCATGGAATGCTCACATAAAGTATAAATATATAGTATGAATTGTATGAACAGGATATATAATATAAAGTACACTATGTACAAACAGAAATGTAACAACACTGCCCAGTTTTACTTAACCTGCATTCCAGTCATATCTGATGAGTAAAATGGGTACTTCAGCTGCTATGCTCTGTGTACAAAGAAAGGTATTTATGATCCTGACACCATAAAGGAAACTGGGGAAAGATGGCCCTTCTACTAATGACACACAGATCTGGTTTTGTCTGGAGAAAGAGGGAAAATGGAGCTAGCTGTTATTACTGCAACCACTTCTGGGTGGAAGGCAGGATTACTACAATTTAGTGTTAATGGCCATTCCCAAAAAGTGTGCATAATAACCTTACCAAGGACCCTCACCTGCCTTCACCAGAGTAGAAATACAACTGTATAAGGAATCTACATTTACAAAAAAAAGCGACTTTAAAATATACAGAGCCTTGGTTATATCCCCCTCCATCTGCCTGATGTCACAGTCCTGGCCTGGTACTTTCAAAGCACTGAGGTGCAGCTGCCACGAGCACCTTGACCCTTTCCAGAAATGTTTGTCTCGAGGAACACAGTGTCCATGCCTGTCAGGATACAGTGGAGCCCACAGCACACTTTTAACCCCCCGGAGGGCTGCCCAGCACATTCTACATCTTCCCCAGCAAGATCTGCCCTCTCTCAAAGCCACTAGGATGAGACACGCATGGAAACATTTCTACATGAGAAGATGCATGGTACAGAGCAATGGTCTTACCGTGACCTCCTTTGTATAGACCACTGGCACTGCCCATCTGTGTCCCGGGTGAGCTGAACAGAGAATACTGTGAGGGTGTTGTCACTGGAAAAGAAGGCAAAGTAAGGATCTGTGGCCAGTTCCCTCCTAAAGGAATGGATCTGTACGGGGCAAGGTTTGTTTCTTTCTTACCATATGATGTCTCTGGAGACACAGGAAATACTGGTGTGGGTGACACAGACTCGCTGCTGCTTTTGGCTGCAGAGAAGATCCTGCCATCAATGACATCAAGGTCTGGGGGATATGTGGTGATCACCACCTGAAAATGACACAGGGGAGCCAGGTAAGGGCCACCTCCAGACAGAGGGGTCCTGGCCAGGCCACCGAGCAGCCCTCACCAGAAGGCCAAGTTTGAGATCCAAGGCACAGAACCAGGCCCATCCCCCCCAACCATGGAAAAGCCTCACTAACAGCAAAGGAAGAAGGAAGAGTCTTATTGTCATCTTTTACTACAATAGCACACAGCTTAATGAGTAGAATTGGCAGAGTTTATATTATGTGGGGAAACTGAGTGTTACAACATTATGTGGGGAAAAAGCAAGATAAAATAATCTTTTCCTATTGTATATTCATAGATACACCAAAAATTAAATATATGGGTACAGAAAAAAGACTGGAAGGAACTAACCCAAATTTAACACTCACTTTGCTTGTGTATTAAGACAAAAGTGATTTTTCTTTTCTTATATATTCCAACTTTACTACTTAAGAATAAAGCAAGCCCTAATTTTAAAGGGTTCCTGGTTTTGGAGCATATTGACCTACCCTCAATTCTGATTGAAAGTCTTAAGTAGGGCCTCCCTGGTGACACAAGTGTTAAAGACAGTGCTATCAAGTTATAGGCAGCCACTGCGGCATGAGTTCGATCCCTGGCTGGCCAGGAAGTTAACCCACATATGGCGCAGCAGACCTCTCCTGTCTTGCCCATTGCTCCCCTCAGCAGTGTATTTCAGTAGATCTGCCTGTTCTGCTCCCCACTCTCTCTGGTGAATCCTCACCCCACCCCCTGCACCTCTGGCTTACACACCAGTTCTTGTATGCAGAAATAAATAAATCTTTTTTTAAAAAAAGTCTTAAGCTTCTGGAAGATGCTCTGTGATCCCACTACAATCCAGCTGACCCACATCTTTCTGCTTCCCTCCCCATGGGGCCCTCTGAAATGACTTCCAGCAAGACTGTGTCTGCTCTTCCCAACTGCATCCACACAGGGATCTCTGAGATCTCTGACAACTCAAAACCCACCAGCATGCTGCCGACTTCATTTCCATTCTAGGATCAGAACACAGGCTCAGATATCTTAAAAGAGGTAACAACATCTGCAATTATCTCAGGAGAATGGGATTCAAACCAGGCCCATGGACCACACACTGGCTTTCCCAACCACACCACCTGTGCTTCCGGAAGGACCATATCTAAAAGATGGGCAGGGAGCCTGGGAGAGAGGGGGACTGCCATGGACATGATTTAAGGGACCAGAATGGACATCATCCTTGGACATTCACTTGGGGACACTATAGCTGGTGGGAATGGGACTGGAGATGTCAGCTCAGGTCAACTTTCAGTGCAGGTGTATACCTCTTTGGCATCTGCTGGAGACAGGAAAGAAGGCCGACTCGGAGTCTGGTCCACACTGGTGGTCTTCCCCCATCCATACTTGGAGAAGGCGGGTTGCTCCCCCGAATTGTTGTCATACTGTCCAAGGCTCAGCTTTCGAAGTCTCCCCCCGAGTGGGTCATCACCCAAGTTGCCTGTTAGGAGAGAGACAGAAGAAATGTGGGCGTTTTTAGGACAGTGGAATGCACATGCACTTCATTAAAACTTTAAACCATTAATATTTTAAAGTTTCACGAAGACACGTTTTATTTCATCACCATACACACTGGTTACTCAGGGTAGCTCCAGGTGCTGCTGCAAATAGACCAGCAACCCTGGGATCGCCTCTGACTCACAGGGCACCCTGAAGGCCCACAGCTCCCCACAGCCAGCCTAATCCCACCAGAACCAGCTTAGGGCCACAGCCAGCCTAATCCCACCAGAACAGCACCCATCATACTGGGAAAGGATCCCTATGGATCCGCCCACAGCAGCTGAGCAGAGGGACCTCCACGTGCAGAGCTGCATGGCAGGCCCAGTGCACTCCAGTCGGGCAGAGCACTCTACAGGTTGCTCACTCCACCTGGGGGACTCCAGGCCCAGTGAGTTCCCCATGTGAGTGCTGTATCTTAATGAGGAATTCAAGACCAACAGTCAACATTCACCAGCCCATGTGCTCCTCTGCACTGAATGCCACAGGATTTATTCTTTTTTTTTTTTTTACCTTTAATTTTTTTAAGATTTATTTATTTATTTATATAAGCACTGGGTACAGTCAGAAGCACGGGAGGGTGAGAGAATTCACCAGAGCCAGAGCAGGGAGCAGAACAGACAGACTGACGAAATACACTGCTGAGGGGAGCAGCGGGCAGCAGGAGAGGTCTGCATGCCATGTGGGACCCTTGCTGGTGGCTGGGGATCGAACAGGCTCTGCAGAGGCTGTGGGCAGCTTCACAACCCAGCGCTCAACCGCTGCGCCACCAGGGAGGCCCAGGATTTATTCTTGATACAGATCACCTGCACCTCCACCCTCCAAGCAACAGAATTAGATTTGTTTTATGCAGGGAGAAAGGAGTTAGAAACTGCAATCTGTCTGAATTTTACTCCCTTCCCAGGGAATCTTATTAACTGGGCAGAATAGGAAGATTGCTTTAAGTTATTACAGCAGCGTTTTTACTGGTGTCTAACTCACAACTGACAGGATTTCCCCTACAGTTCAGATTTGAGCTGAAATATGTAGTCCCTACAGCTGTAATGGTAACAAAATGATGCTGCATTTGCAGGTGAGGTTTAAATTACAGCCTTGTGGCTTACCTTAGGATGGCTCCGTTCCAAGTGAGCCCTGTGACAGATACATGTCATGCCTGCATTCTTGAGCAGCCTCTGCCCTTGATTCACCCCCTCCCACTGCAGGGACTTGAAGAAGCCACATAGAATATGAAAGCTGTAAGTAGGGGAAGACAATCCAACAGAGCAGGACACAGCTGAGTTTCAAGGCCCCCTTAAATGTCCCACCTCCCAAAGCTCCAACTTCCCGATGGGATGGTCCACCTATGGGTAAAGACCAGCTGGGCACAGTCCCGCATGACACATGGACTGTTATATGCTCAGTGCCATGATGCTAGTGACCGAGAACAAGAGCTAGACTCAATACTTAGTGGGAGGTAACAGCCAAGCACTGTTCCACCGTCCGGACATCCTCCCTTCCTCCCCTCCTCCCCAACAGTTACCCTGCAGATCTGCCTGAGCGGGGACAGGAGAATGCATTAGGATTTAGGATTTGGAGTCTCAGTCTACCCCTCACGAGTTGTAGCACATCAATAACCCCTGTTCCACTGCATGTAAAATGAGCACACTGCTTCTTCACCCTCCCAAAGTGAGGTGAAGATGAAATGAAGCCAAGCATCTGGCAGCCCCACCAACACAACCAGCACAACCCCACACAGAAACAGAGACACCGCCATCCCAGGGTGCTCTTCCCTCTCCCACCCTCTCCCACCTTGGGCTCCCCGCCTTCCAAGAGATGTGTGCTGCCCCTTAGGAGGGATCCGGCCTGTCCCCAACTGCGACAGGCCTGTCCGTCCACATGTACCTGGCACCAAGGAGGGAGAGCATGTAGGGGGTAGGTGGCGTATGCCCATGACTGGGCAGGGACACGGCTGTCCCCCGGGCACAGCAGAGTGCATTAGGAGGATGGACATGGAGGTGAACAGGCTCATGGGCATCAGAGGCAGCAAGAAGAGCCCTGTGAGCCTGACCCACTGAGAAGTGGAACTCGCCTTCCTCCAAGCTGTGGGACTACAAAGCACAGAGCACAGCATCCAGAGGAACCTCTCCACAAAGGTGCCTCTCCCACATAAAGCTGAGCTGGGTGCTCAGCTGCCTTTCACTGACAAATGCAGCTATCACAACTGAGAAATTTAAGGTTCACCTCACCGATAAGCCTTCCACAGATGGGATGTGGGGGTGGGAAGGCTCACTACCCCAGGTAATCAACCTCTTAGTTCACATGACATCACACCAACACACAGCATGGCGTGATGCCCCAGAGAGCACGGAGGGTGTCAGTGGGTTCCCATAGACCCTGCCCCTCTAGTCAGGGGAGGTGACCTGGGTGCAGATGTGAATGTGCCATAACCTCAACCCTGACCTCTGTACCAGCCTGCCTTCCACAGGCAAAGGCCCCCTGCTGCCTTCTGCTGGCTCCATTGGTTGTCCCTTCCCCTTCCCCCTCCCACCCAGGTGCTGCAAACCACAGGCTTCCACTGCTTTCCAGCCAGTAGAAAAGGCATCAGCAAGCCACCTGCCCTCATAGTCACAGAGGGTACAGGGGTCATGCAGAACACAATCTAGGATCACTGAGTCATTACATCCTTGGTGATGCACACACCCCACACTAGCCCCATCATTCTTCCATTGCCCCAGCTGACATTGGTGGCTTCTGTCTCAGCAGAGGGCCAGTCTTTAGCAACCCCTCCTTCACAGAATGCCTGCTTTTACCAACAACACTTGGCAGCACTGAGATGTGATCTGCAATGGTCACACAACTAGACACAGTATCCCTCCCCCCCAGTTCCCATGGACCGGTCTGGTCTCCTTTCCTCCACCACTGGACACTGCTCCAGACATCCAGACCCACCTATCCAGGCTGTAAAGGGTAACAGGGGCCACCGGGTGTCCCCCTTAATGCCATTCTCAAAAACCAGAGCCATCTCCTTATTTTAACAATTTCATTTTATTCATAGGTTGGCTGGGGCCAAGGACAAAGACAGAACACCTGCTGTGCCCGAGCACAGTGGGCCAGTAGGCTGTCAAGTGTCAACTCAATCATTGTCAGACCTTGAGGGACCTTGGATTCATGGTGAAGCTGGGGTTAGGTAATGTTTGGTCATTCTGTCATTTAGGTAACATGATCAGGTCAGGTAGCTATGCGGGGAGCAGGGGGAGCTAGGTGGTCCCTGCACACCCAGTCCACAGTGAATGTTACCTTACATCAGCGACTATGAGCAGTTGGACTGAGGGTTAGGACAGGAGAACTCACGATGCTGAGGACAGAGCAGGAGTGCCAGCACTCGCATAGGGCACATGGACGAGACAGAGACCATGGGGTACACATCGAGAGTTTCCACCTGGGACTGAGTCCAGTCTGACCTGGGAGGTCTGTACTGCTGCTAATTTCATCACTGAGTTGACAGAGACACTGGTGACTTTCTTAGATCACTCATTCGAAACTGTATTTTAAAAACAGATGCTCCCTGCCCACTCTGTACCTCTTCCTAAATACACCGAGCCCCATTATGCAAACTGGTAGAGTATGCAATAATACCATCACGGGCAACTTGGAACATATTTGCATTTTCCATGCACTTTACTAGGGCAATTTTTGGGTGACTCTCTGATCCTTTTTAAGGATTAAAAAGAACCAACTACCTTAAGATAGTGTCATAGCATGCATTCTTCCCTCTGACTTCAAGCCAGGACCAGCCCTGGGGCCAGTACAAGGAATCACCTCCCAGATCCCTGGCATCTGATACCTTTCTGTTCTCCAAATCCTACAGCAGGCTGGCAAACAGGACTGTATGAGAATCACCATGGGCCAGGGCCTCTCATGCCTCACTGAGCTAAGGGTCACCCTCCAGGTGATTGAGACACATACCCAAGTTTGAGACACAAATACAAAACAGTGTTTTTCAAACATGGCAGCACATCAGAATCATGTTTAAAATCCAGACACCTGTAAAGACAGAACTTGCAGAACGAGAGGCATCTTTGAAATCTTCCCAGTGTTTCCAACACACAGCAAAGCTGAGAACCATGGCAGTTCTCAACGCTGGGTTCACACCGAGGTACACACATAGAGAATAATTCTAACACCCCAGTTGCAACCCAGGCCAATTCAACCAGGTCCTCTAGAGGGGGAAGCCTCATGTGCACTTGCAGCATGTGCATTCTGTCACACTCCCCAGGGACAGCCCTGGGAAGTCAGTATGGTAACCTCCTGCTCTGAAGAGGAGATGGAACCCATGTCCTCCCAGACTTTCATCTGGCAGGTACAGTGCCCTTGAGCAATTTATCTTTATATTATCATATAGAATGAAGTCCTGCATCACTCAGGCATGCACACAGTGGGTTCTGGAAGCTCCCTTGCATTCCGAGGCTTAAAAACAAATATCAAAGATGGCACCCAAATCAGGCCTCCTGATTTCAGCTCATTCAAATAAACGCATGCTCTAGATAGGTGGGAAGAATAACGATAACCTGACAATGAAAAACACAAGTACTTCCCAGCTTAAGTGTTCCCAGAATGATTTAAGCAGGTTTTCCCCCCCTAAACTGAAACAATGATTCAACAGCCCTTTCCCACTGCAGGGGGGCATGTGTGTGTGTAGGGAATTGGAATTAAATCAGGATTTTTCCACCCTCCCACTGCTAGCCACTATGGCTGGCGCCTCTGGCCTTGCACGTCTCCTAGGTTGTGGGTGCCTGGGGCTGCAAAGCTTGGATGCAGGACATGCACAACTATGATTATGACACGTGGGCCCAGATAGCACGGGGTACATATATGAAAGTGTGGATACCTGTGCTGAGAGGGAAGCTAAAAGGTGCTCCTCAACTCTGGCATGAGTGTCACTCTGAAGTGAGACACAAGACTGAG